CCCTTTCCATCCCCACCCCCAACCTCACTCTTTTACCTAACTCCTACTCATCCTTCAGCTCGCCTTCTCCTGGTCATCTTCCCTGATCAACCCTTGGTCTGAGTTTCAGCCACTGCTCTCGGCCCCATAGCAGTTCTGGCTGACTGCTATCATAGTCCTTTTTCTGCTGTGTTCAAATTCACTGTCTACTTGTTTATATCTCCCACTATGCTGACCTTTTTGGAGGCAATGATGCCAACACCAGAATAAAGTCTGGTAGATATCATGAATGAATGAATGAATGAATGAATGACAACCTGGTGTCAATCCAAAAAGATAGATCCATATTTAAGGGACCTGGGCATGGGGTGTGACTGGAAAGTGAAGGGGACAGTAGGAGTCTCCTGTAGGATAGCTCAGGGCTGGGAGTGAAGGGGCCAGTATTCCAAAGGCAGGTTGCATTTTCTTGCAAAATCAGGAAGAAATACCCCCTTCAAAAATAAGTATGCTCACTACTGGTGGAACTAAGAAACAAGAGGTGGTAACAGTGAGGCGTGAGGGGATAGCCCAGGCTTGTAATCCCCACTCTGCCCCAGGTGAGTCTCGCAGGGTCATGGATGGACGTGAGGTCATCAGCGGTGTCCCTCACTGTGACTCAGTTCTTCCTGGGGCACTAACTCAGTGGCTCCAGGGCCAGGGGTTGACCCACAGCTGTGATCAGTACTTCCCAGAGCAGAGCCATTGATCAAGAGTCCAGAGTGCACGAAAGAAAACAGCACGTCTTACCTGAGAGAATAAAAAAGATGCCGGAGACAAAGGCCAGTATAGTCCTATGGGGACGGATGTGTCCGATGTTGCTCAGGATAAACCCAATGAACATGAAGAAGAGGCTGACCAGAGGGAATGGTGTGGCCGAACGAATCATTTCTAATCGAGGGGACAAGAGGATACTGTCAGCTTCCCACGGCCTTACTTCCTGCTCACCCACCCAGTTCAAGTGTTCCTGGAAGTGTTTGCCAACCGGTCCCTGAAGTCTTCTGGCTGGCCCAGTTCTCTGGGCTCCATACCCTCCTTGGGGGGCCTGGGGACCTCCCAGTGCTGGCAGGGCTTCTGTCCCTGAGGCAGGGCTGGGAGGTCTGATTTCAAGGGCCAACATGTTTCTGTCTTTTCTCCCAGCACAAACTACTAGGCATCCAATATGGCAGCTGTGGAAGGGCCTGGTCACCCTTCTCCCTTCCTCTCCTGGGGGGTATTCTCCATGGGCAAAGGCATCTATCTCTGAGTGGTGCAGGAGACAGTTCCTGGCCTTGGTTTTCTTCAATTTCGGGAATGGTCTGCATATTAAATGTATCTGATCTTTGTCCTTGGTTCCTGAGAGATGACCTCTATATCCTTGGAATTTCCCAAGTGATAAGAGTGTCTTTGATATTCATAGTGGGCTCCCTGACTACACCGAGTTTCTTCCAATCAGCTGGCTCAGGATGGGGGCTGGAAAGACCAACCATGGGATTAGAAGTTTAGGGGTTTTGAGCCATGTGATACAGGCCCGACTCTGGGAAGAGGAGGGGGAGATTGTGTTCAGTCATGTGGTTGATAGCTCACTCAACCTGCCTCTGTAATGCAGCCCAGTAAAAACTCGGCCCCAAAGCCTGGTTGTGTTTCCTGATTAGTGGACACATCCATGTGCCAGGATGGTGATGCATCCTGATCCTGTGGGGAGAAGACATGGAGACTCGGCATTCAGTACCCTCCCAGATCTCACCCTACGTGCCTCTTTATTTGGTTGATCTTGATCTGTATCCTTTATAATAAAACTGTGATAAGTATTGCACTTTCCTGAATTCTACAAGTGGTTCTAGCAATTTTTTGAACCTGAGGGGGTCACAGGAACGCCTGACTTGTAGCCAGCTTGTCAGTAATGTTGGTGGCCTTGGGGACTTCCAAACTTCCAGCTGGTGTGTGAAGTGAGGGCAGTCCGGTTGGGGGCTGAGAACTTAGACTGTGACTTTGTGCTAACTTGGAGTGATTAGTATCAGAATTGTATTGCAAGTTCATACTGGTGGAGGTGGGTGGTTCAGAATCAGCCCTGGTGAGGCAAAGTCCATGAAGTCAACCTTGGGGGCCAGAGAATTTGCATTAGCTCCCTGAGTAATATAGCTTGAATGCTTAGGGTGGAACCCTCATGACTGGGATCAATACCCTTATGAAAGAGACCCCACAGAGCTCCCTCTCCCCTTTATCTGCGTGAGAACACAGCAAGAAGGCGCCGGCTATAGCAGGGAGGGGGCCCTCACCAGAACGTGACCGTGCCGGCACCTTGATCTTGGACTTCCGGACTCTAGGACTGAAAGAAATTTCTGTTGTTGATAAACTACCTGGTCTGTGGCATTTTGCTCCGGCAGCCCGCACGGGCTAAGACACGAGGCGGAATGCCCTCTCCCTTGCCTGGGTCACAAGACCGTCATGGCCACTGGGAGAATAATTGGCAGAGTGAGCTCTGGTGGGCTCAGGCCAGCACCGCCGGCTGAGTCCAAGGGCATTAGCTCTTGCAAAACAACCTGGTCTCTCCCCGACTCTCCCCTTCACCCTGCTCTGCTCTGGGGAGCCAGTGACCCAGGTCAGGAAGTCTGAGGCACCTACTTAAAACATTGACGGTAGACTCTGATGTCAGCTGGGTGTTCATGGGCATCACATACTCTATGGTGAAGCAGCGGCCCCGCTCCTCACCTGTGAAGACAAGAATCATTGACGTTTCCAGGTGATTCTTGAAACGTGGACGGGAAGTTAGTACATTCAAATGGGGTTCCCAGCTGCTTCTGGGGGCTTTGACCCACAGTGTATTTGCACCTGGGCTGGATCTAACCCCAGGGCGTCCCGTCCCTGGCTGGTGACCCACATCTTTCCCGCAGACATCACATCCCGACATCACATGTTTCCTACAGAAGCGCCACTGTGAAGACGGACCCACGCATCAAGAGTCACATGGGAGGCAGTCAGCCCTGCAAACCGGAGGTTGAATAACACATCTGGCGGCCGTCTCGTTGCTCTGGGGCAGGCTCGGCCGACGATGGTGCAAGGCTGGCTTAGACTCCCCAGGGTGGGTGTCATGGAACAGAGCCCGGAAAGCCTTGTCAATCATTTTGGAAGCCAAATACTAGGGACTTCAAATGCTGCTTCACATTTACATGTGACCATGTGATCGATGCCACATAGTCTAGGGCGGTGGGAGGTGAGGTCAACGTCAGGTGCCATTCCCAAAGCAGACACAAGTCACCAGGAGGCCAGGCTTCGGGGTGCTCTCCCTGCTGAATACTGGTGGGCACCAATCACCACCCCCATCCTCCAAAACCCTGTTTATTATAAAGGGACCACATGCTCCCTCTGCCCAGTGTGCACGTAGGTGACAGGGCCCTTCAAGAAATGCTCAGTGATCACACTGTGGCAGTTCCAGCCAGCTCAGGCTGGTGGCCAGTCACGGAGTACGGAGATGCTCCTCCTGTGCAGGTGGCTCTGGGCCATGGTAAAGGGATAAAGGCCAAGTGCTGGGAACGGCAACTCAAGGGTTCCAGAGAAGTCCCAGCAAACTGGAGGGAGGCCCAGATAGGCGGGATCCGAGCCTACACCATCTTGCAGATTTGGAAGGACCCGCATCTGTGTTTTCTCTTTCCCACTTCATGGGGTTGGAAGAGGAAAACCGCTAAGTAGTTCCCATTCTGTAAACTAGCGGATATATGTGACGCTGAGTCACGGAGACTCACTTCGCCTCCCCGGATCTTCACGTAAGATTGGAAAAGTAAGTCCTGCCTTGGAGTGTTGTGGGGAGGCCCTGAGATGGAGAAGCCCCTGAACAGTTCCAGACCCGGGTGAGGCCACCTCGTCCAGCCTGCGAGGTGCAGTTCGGGGAAGGCGTGGTTACAGTCATCTTTCAGGTGAGGACACGCAGGTCCCGGGGGGATGACATCGTGACTCAGGGCTTGAGTTTGGAACGGGCCCTGGTCACTGCAGGGAGCGCCACCCAGAGTTGACGAGGACCGTCCCTGGTGAACCGCCCCCCCGCCCCGTCCAGCAGGGGCATCTCCTCCCCGTGGGAAGCCCCTTGGGCAGGTTTTCCAAGGGGGCACAAGCCGGCCCTCTCTCTGGGGCCAGGCTGTCCCAACCTGGGGTGCCCTTACCTGCGAGGAAGCAGACACGCCACAGGCCGGAGTGCAGGGACATCTTGATCTCCATGCTCTGGTTCTGGGGCAGGACCACGCCCTCCTCCAGGTACAGCCAGTAGTCAGTGCTGACCGCAATGCCCAGGAGACCCAGGCCACAGACAGCAAAGACGCTGCTCAGCAGGGTCAGGGCCTTCCTCCCGCAGCCACTCATCTTCACCAGAGGTCGCTGGGCGGCCTGTGGCCAAGGTCCCGCCAGCAGGAGGTGCGCTCTGGAGGCAGAGAGAGGGTGGGCCGGTGGTAGCCACCATGGCTCTGAGCAGGCCAGGACGAGGGGTCTTCGGGAGGGAACTAAAGTCAACCCTATACGAAAAGGCACAGGGGCGCCTGGGTGGCTCAGTCAGGTGGGCATCCGACGTCGGCTCAGGTCATGATCTCACGGCTCATGAGTTCGAGCCCCGCATCGGGCTCTGTGCCGACAGCCCAGAGCCTGGAGCCTGCTTCGGATTCTGTGTCTCCCTCTCTCCCTCTCTGCCCCTCCCCCCCTCAAAAATAAACAAACATTTATTAATAAAGAAATAAATAAATATGTAAATAAGGCAGAGGGGCAGGGAAGGCATCTTGGGAGGGTATCTTCCTCATGGGCTCTAATCAGCTGCAGCTCTGGGTCAACACAAGTCAAGAAGCCACACCACAGTCCAAACCCAATGGGCCTCCTAAACCCACCTCATCAGAAACCATCTGACCTTGGCGGCCCAGCACGTGGTATTGGCAGGAGCCAGCTCTGAACCAGCCAGAGACCAGGCATCTACACAAAGTGAGCCATGAGCACAGGTACCGATTCCTGCCGAGGCCAAGGCCCTGGGCTCAGAGCTGGGAAACACAGATGCCGACTCTGCCGACTCTGATGGAGCCCACGGGCCGGCTCAGAACCGAACTCTGGGTTAATCTAGAAACATCCAGGGAGCATCTAAAACTCCCTAAGGCCTGGGTTGCCAGCCTGAGAGATTCTGGTGCAACTGGGCTCATGTGGGGGCCGTGGTATTTTATAAACAGTCTGCACGATTCTAACGTAAAGCCCAAGTTGAGAACGACTGATCCTTCCTACTCAAAGTGTGACCCACGGACAAGCAGCATCAGCGTCACCCCGGAGCTTGTCAGAAACGCAGAATCCCAGGGCCCTCCAATTTTCTTTTTATTTTTTTTTTAATTTTTTTTTTAACATTTATTTATTTTTGAGACAGAGAAAGAGCATGAACAGGGGAGGGCCAGAGAAAGAGGGAGACACAGAATCCGAAACAGGCTCCAGGCTCCGAGCGGTCAGCACGGAGCCCGACGCGGGGCTCGAACCCACGGACCGCGGGATCATGACCTGAGCCGACGTCGGACGCTTAACCGACTGAGCCACCCAGGCGCCCCTCCAATTTTGTAAACCAGAATCGACATTGCGACAAGACCCAGGTGAGCTGTGTATCTGCGGACTTCTGAGAAGCTCTGTGCCAAGCAAACACGCAACTATGCTACAATGTAGTCAGTGCCATGCTAGGGAAAGCCCAAGATGTGATGAGAGCCCCAAAGAGGGCCACCTAGTGGGGCTGCAGGGTGCAGGCACAGTTCTGGTAGGCTGGCAGCCCCCGGAAACTCTGACAGTGTGTCTGGCCTGAGCCGGTCAAGCCTGCCACGCTGCCTGGCTGTCAGCACCTTCCAGTGGTCCTTTGCAGTAATACAAAGTCAAAAACGTTGAAATAGGACGTTGATGCTCACAAAGAGTCAGGTGCCTCAGCACCTGGGATAGGGAGGTGGGGTCACCGAGCTCAGGGCCCTGGGGGTGATCCAGCGGCCCTACCCAAAGCATAGCGTCATCCCTCAGCTGAGACATGGGTATATCCTGGCTGAGCCAGCTGCAAGGGGACAGAAGCCACACTCAGGTCAGGAGGCTTGATTCGTCTGTGAGGTCTGAGCTTGCTGTAGGAGTGGAGAGAAGGAAGACAGGGAGGGAAATGGGTGCCCTTCACAAGAAGGGGGGACGTCCTGACCCTAGTTCCACAGCACCGGCCCTGCCCCCTCAGCTGACTGTCCACAGAATAAGCCCCACGCTGGTTTCCTGGAGGTGTGGGTGTGTGAGAACACAGAGAGAGGTTAAGAAACGTGCCCAAGGTTGCTGAGCCGGCCGGTGGTGGTACCTGCATTTGAACTTCACCCTGCCTCCTTCCTGAGACCTTGACTGTTCCGTTTCTGTGAGTGTTTTCCAAAGTGGGTTCCACGGACGCAAAGGCGCCCTGCCCACCAGGCTGCAGAGCACAATCCTTCCCATACTGGCTTTGACAGAGGAGGGAACAAGAAAATCCCAAACAGCCAGCCCCACCACCGAGCCACGTCATCGTCCACTCAGTGGGGTGGGCAGTAGAGCAGGATGGCTTGGCTCCCGGTTGGGTTACAAGCATCTAATAAAGCACCTACTGTGTGCGGAGCCCTGTGCTGGCTGCTACGAAAGAGGCAAAGGGAGCAGAGGCTTTGTTGTTCGCAGAGTTCACAGGCTGGAGAAGTATGAAACGGCAGCATCATGACCGTGACCTAAGGGGGGTGGGCAGGATCATAACAGGCAGAACCCGGAACTCTGGGTTCCCAGGGGGGGGAGGTAGGCTGCCCGCAGGAGCCCTAGGGAAATGGCAGGCGGGCGGGGGTGGTGACGTGGGACAGATAATAACGAAGACTTCCATAGCAATTTGCTGGGTACTCCCATGTGAGGCTTGCAAAACTCCAAAATCTGCCAGAGGGAATGGAATTGCTACCCCGCGGGTGGCTGGCAGGTACATCTAGAAATGTAAGGGCAGGCGAGGAGAATAAAGGGATTAGATCCCCAGTGAGAGTAACAGCCCCGGATGTTGCAAGCGAGAGCTGGGAAACCTGGACCCAGCCTGGTCACTGACTCGCTGTGTAGGGTTGAAACAGTAACCTTTCTGAGGGCTATTTTTTTTCTCCTATGTAACACAGAGGAAGAGAATAACAACGAAAGCTAAAGTGCATTGAATATTTATGATCGTTAGGCATTCTGCAAAACGCTTTAATCTGTACAGCTCTATTACCATCCCCATTTTACAGGCGAGCAAACTGAGGATCAGAGAGGTTAAGAAACTTGCCCAAGATGGCTCAGCTAGCAAGTGGTGGTGCCTGCATTTGAACTTCACCCCGCCTCCTTCCGAGACCTAACTTGTGCTTCCTCTATGAGTGTTCTCCAAAGTGGGTTCCATGGAACAATATTCTAGCAAAAAGGACTCTGGTGGGGGGCAAAAAGGGCACGGGAAGCACTGCATCTAGGTCTTGAAGAGTCACCTTGCACACTAATATGTTATGGGCCTGAAAAGCATGTTTAGTTTTGCTCACTGCAATGTTTTCCAAACTTCTGCCTCCACAAAATGGCGCCTGTTTCCGTGACACCCACTCTGGGAACAGCGTTGCCCCCCTCCATGAAGAATGCTGAGCTCTAACCTGCCCACCCCACGAACTTGCTGGGGGATTAAATGCAGCAGGAGATATGACAGCGCTTTGTAAGGAATTATTATCACACAGCAAAGGGCTAACAAGCAGACAGACCCGAGCTTCTGAAACACGACAGCTAGTGCCTGGCTGGAGCCGAATAGCCAATTTTAACAGTAAGCTTGACAGACAAAAAAAGATTTAGATCTTAGAGATTTGGGGAGAGGAAAGTAGAGAGGAGATTGGATCTGAAGCTATATAAGCAGGAAATAAAAGAGGCTGAAGTTGACCCACCAGCCCAGCTCTGTCCTAGGAGACTCAAAGCCTGCAATGAGCTGGGGCAAAGGGAAAAAGTCCCCTTCCAGAGTGTGTAACAAATTTATGGAACGCTGCACAGAGCGAAAAGTGGTAATCTTACTCCCTACACCGTTATTTTGGTGCTTCGGTTATGAAATTATTTACTTACGAATAAATAATATCATTGGCTGAGGACTGGAAAGGCGCCTTGTGTATAGTAACTCATCAGGATTTCACGACAATCCCGTAAGTAGGTGGGATTAGCCCCATTTCACGGATGGGGAAACTGAGGCTCAGACAGGTTACGTAGCCTACAGGACGTCACAGGTGGGTGACAGAGTACGGATTTCAATTTAGGTCTGATTCCAAAGTCTACACTCTGGCTACATCATCTCCCTACTGAAGAAATAAATGGGTTCAAGAAGTTTGGGGTGAAGAGGCACATCCAGAGCAGGTCACTGGGGAATCTAGAAATGTACGTGACACAGGATTTTGGGAGATTGTCTTTGTAAACAGCCAAGTGATACACACGGCTGTCTCCTGCCCCTACTGGGTTTACTTCTAGGGGGTCAGCCGGCATATCTTCTCATATTGAGACGCATACTCTAACCCACCATTTCCGATTCCGAAAACCACCTTTTAGGGCGAGAAGACTAACACATGCACTTCCCTCAAAGCACATTTAGGAAAATCAAGGTCCGTATGAGAGATTTACCTGGGATCACACAGCCAGTTCGTGGAGGGACAGAGTGCGAACCGGAAATCTTCTGAATGTTGATCCAATGTTGTTTTTTTTTTCTCTGTGCTGCACGGAAAATCGTAAGGCAGAAGGTGAAAATAATTGCAATTTCCCACCATGAACATCTTAGTTTACTGCTTCCCACTCTTTTTCCCGTGTGACAATCTTCTAGCCATGTCTTCAGTGGGCGGGGCAGGGACGGCAGTCCCCTGAAGGCACTCTGGTCTGGAATGAATTCCTAGTTCCCAAATGATCAGGTCTTTGCTTTTCTTTGGTTACTTCTCATGAGTCCTGTCCCTTGTCTACAACATCCATTTGGTTTTTCTCACGGGGGAGGCAGACCTTTTATACAAGCTGCTGACACCAGATGAGACGCTGATGTTATAATATTGAATGAAGAAAGCTGGGGGTGTAAAACCACATGTTTGACCTGAGCTCAACTACGAAAAAAATTCATAGACTGGGAAGAAATGAACCCAAATGTTGATGGTGGATACTTCCAGGTCACAAGGTTAGATGTATTTGGTTTTCTCTATACTGTTCTGTGCTCGACAAAGCTTCTAAAAACAAACAAAACAAAACAAACCTATACCCAGAGAAGAAAACCAAAAGATTAGAGTCCTCAGTTGTCCAATCACTGCCCTATGTAAACAGAAATGCAGGGTCCCAGTTAATTTCCGGGCGAGAGATGCCCAAATCGA